GAAGACTGGGCACAACCGATCGTGCCCTGCCCCCCCACCCCCCGCGCGTCCCGCGACTTTGTCCACGTGCCGGGGCAGATTGTGTGCAAATGATTAGCCGGCGAGCCTTCGCGAGCAGAGCCGGTCAGCTCGACGGTTGGATTTGTCCATTTAATGGCAACCCCCGGTGATCGAATCAGCGGCAAACGGTACCGACTCCGGGCCCCGGACTCTCGCGGGCCCTACTCGCCGGTATCTCGATCGTCACTCGACTCGTTCCCGCGACAAATCGATCGGTTCTCGCGATCTAATGCCAGCTGTTCCGTTCAAAATTCTACAGGACGTGGTTCCAGCCGTATTAGCGCGCTACCTGCCGGTTTATCGTCGTCCAACTTCCGCTCGAAGAATCCACTTTTTAAACAATATGTAACACGTTCGTCGTCGCGTCACCCAGATCGACGGGTGACGGGTATGCTTATGTGGGGGCCCCTGTCACCCAAATATGGGTGACGCTCTTTTTATTCAATTTATAGGACTTTCGGTTGGATTTTAAAAGAAATCAAATGGAATAAGCACTGAGATATGAATATAGGATATACAACTTGAAAATACTAAAAATATACATATTATACTATACTTTTTACTAATTTATAGTGAATATTTAATTTGAAGTAAAGCAAATTAAAGTAAATAATAATTTATAGCAGCTCCATCAGTCGGATTTGGGCCCCACGAGAGACTCAACCGAATTGCGCTGGGCGACGAACGTGTCAATATCATCGAAGACCTACGATAAGATTCTGATAACGAGTACGCGCGACGAGGATTACTTTTAAATACGCGACACCCCTTTCGTTTCGTAGATACAGTAATGTCTCTCTATTCGACGCTCAGATTGTCCACAGAAAAGGACAATATGAGAAGAGGAGATACGATTATTCGAGCCTTGCAGTTCGTTTATTATAGTTTCGAATTGTCAGCAACTAGAAGAACGAGCTGCAGGGCTCGAACAATCGTATCGCCTCATCCCAAATTGTCCATTTTAGTGGACAATCCGAGCGTCAGTAAGGGAGACATTACTGTATAGCCTTTAACGTTAAATCTACTTTCCTTGGAAAATTCGACGTTAAAATTAGACTTTAAAATTAAACTTTGTGCCATCTTTATCAGAAAATACGAGCTTGAACGGAGAAATTTATCACATCATCTCGACAATTGTTAAATTAAAAATACGAATTAGGTTATTTGACCGACACCGATAGATTTAACATGAACGATGTTTCCCGGTAACGTTTTATCGCGCATAAAACGTTAACTATCAACGCGGACAAGCTATAAGAACATAAAACATTTTATCGCCGACAAACCTTCCCCTTGCTAAACCCAAAAGATCCAAAACGTCCGTAAAATCCCAAATAATCGAAAGCTCCGCGCCAAAATCGAGTTCGCCGACCGTGGCGTATAAACATTCGCGAGGGGGATGAATTTTTGGAGAGCGTCGCTAGCCACAATTATCCTCGAGGACTGCCACGAAGAATTGTAGCAGTTTCTAGCAAACAATTGTAGCAAATATAACCTTGACATAACCTCAAATAATCGTATCTCCTCTTCCCAAATTATCCAATTTAGTGGGCAATCTGAGCGTCAGTAAGGGAGTCATTACTGCAGTTTCGCTAGCCACAGTTATCCTCGAGGACTGCCACGAAGAACTGCTACATAACTTCCGGTGGAATCGATGGACCCTTCCGAAAAAATTAAAAAAAAAAACCAACAACTTCGACAACTCGTTGTCGAAAGTTTCGGACACCTCATCCGTCGAACGATGCCCCGGCCGCGCGATAAGGCGTCGACGTTCGATCCCTGGGGACGCGTCCTCCGCGTCGACGAGAGGGACAAGCCGGCAGAAAACAGGTGGTAAATTTTTGCCGGCGATAATCGGTACGCGAATCGATCAATATTTATACCCCGGCCGTCCGCTGATGGAGCGATCATTTATTCCGCTTTATTAATTGATTATCCCGCGTGCGATGATATACGATTGTGGCCCGTGCAGCCCGTTACGAGCAGGACGACTATCGGCTAGCCCGCTCGTGCATAAATTACCGATAACGAAGCCCACGCGCGTTTTCTCTAGATCTTGTTCTTCTTTATCCGCGCGACGTCGCGCGGCCGCGAGACGACGACGACGATCGAAACGGCTAAATAAACCGTGAGCGCGCGCGGGACGCAAGGAACGGGTGAACTCTTTCCTCGCGCACGGCCGGGTAAACGACCGACATATAAATCTGATAAACGCGCGGCGGATATTATATTCGCGCACGATTCGCGACGGTCCGCCGCTTCGCGCGAACAGCGAGCGGTTCGTTGGCTCTTAGGCGTCGTTATCGAATCAACGGCGCCCGACGGATCACGGAAACATAATTCAAGATCAGTGTCACGGCTCGTCCTGTTCCGACGCGGCTCCGACCGCGCTGACAGAGAGAGGCCCCCTGTGCCGCATCAATGGGCCGCCCTGTTCCCAGAGAGAAAGCCCCGGACTTTCTATCCTCGATTAGCAAAATCGACGGCGAATACCCCGGGATACTCGCCGGCGCGCGCGCGCGCGGTTTTCCTCCTCCGTTGAACGATCGCCTCGCGGATTCGAACAAATTGAAATCGTCGGAGAAGCGACCTGCTCGAACCGCGGGATGAAGAAATAAATATATACGAGATGGTAGATAAGAGCCGCGAGGAGAACAGTTTGGCAACCCGGCTCTGCTCTCTCTCGACATTTTCCAGCCAGCCGACTTTATTCGGCCGGCGAACCATCGCCTATTGTATGGTACTTTCCAGTTATCCAACAGCTTCCACGGAGCTTTACGGACTCCGCGGCCGACTCTCGCGGGTCGGGACTTTCGATGGTTCCTCGGTCGACTACTCACGGGTCCCCCGAAGATGTCCGACCGGTTGTCCGGTCGCTGTCCGTCGTTTCCCTGCGGGAACTTTATCGAGTTCCCAGGGCATTAGAAATCGTACGTACGAGCCTCTTTATCCGCTACCATCTCGCACCTGTCCACGTTGTTCGAACAAGGAACCGAAATGTAATAAAGGGAACTAGGAAGAAAGTCCCCCCACCCCCGAAAAGTCTGTCGGCAGATAAGAACCACGGAATTCACGGTTCGTCCAGAAACGGTAACGAAAGAATGCGGCCAAAGGCGTGCACGGCCGAGATCAGATGAAGATAGAGGACAGTGATGCATGATCGCGATTAGGTCAATAGGCGGGGTCCATTACCGATCGGGCCTTACCAGGCCTTACGAGGGAGGAGGTTAGGGGAGGGGGGACCGAGGGCCAAGATAACGAGTGCATTATGTGGATTCGGCTATGTCGGATCGATCTCCGATCGCAATTAGGCGAACGTGAGCGTTTCGCGGCGGGGAGAGGAACGCGGTGCCACGGCTCTCTCGGCCTGCCACGCTCGTTAATCTTCCCCTAAAATGTATAATTGGAGACGTTAATTGGGTTACACGGACGTGGCGCGCGGCCGGCCCGAGATAAGCACTTTGTTACGTGTATCGAGGCGACAATGGCCCGTTAGCCCCCGGCAGAAAAATGTTAATTAGCCGGCTGACACCCCAGGATCGAACAACAGATCCTTCCTGCTACGCCTATGGACCGAAAAATCGCGGGACTTTTTGAACCCGCGGGACGCTCTCTAACCTCCGCGCCGCGATTTTATCGGCGGGGGATATCGCGTTTCGTGAACGCTCCTAGGGTACCAGAGCCACGGAGATTGATAAATAGATCGTAATAACCGGCAAAAGAACACCGGAGGAATTGTTCTTTCCGTCGCGGCGAACGCTTCGACCCCGCGATTAAATCGGGTTCTTAAACGTTTTGGTGTAGAAAATGAGGCATTTTTTGACTAATTAAGTCTGTAATACTTTTGTATAATTTGTATAATATATATTGCATAATTTTGATAATTAGTCCTTAATAAAAGTAAAAATAACGTATTTGTATTTTTTGACAAATTACGTCCGTAAAACTTTTGTATAATCTGTACAATATATACACAATATATACACAATATATATATACATATATATTGAATTATATTTATTATTATATATTATATTATATTATTATATAATAATATATACAATATATCTTGCCTTCGTTCATTGATTTGGCAAGATATATATTGCATAATTTTGATAATTACTCCTTAATAACGTGAAACAACGTATTTGTATCTTCGAGTAAGAATATTCCCGCCGCGAAAAAAAAAATGGCGGGAGATACTATTTTGAAGATCCAGGACGGTAGATAACGCGTCCCCGGGGCGATCGATTGCATCGTGTAAACAAAGAAACGAATAACCAGTAAAATATGGAAAATAGTAATACTAACCGACGCTCGAAGCAATATAATTATGGTAATGGCCGCGGTACAGGTTATTTAAACGACATAACGGTTACGCACGATTGAATGCGCAGAGAAAGATGCGCGCGCGTAATTACATAACCTATCATTGTAATGGATACTTTATTCTTCGTCGGACGTCGCACTCGACTTAGCGGGTTTACGTAAATCTTATCGGGAATCTGCGGTGTTTGTTTACGAAGTTTCTCGAATAAATGATAGCTCAATCGTGCGTTGCAGATTTTTCATCGATCGAAACGCAACTTGAACGATCGTATTTCAATATCGCGTCGCATCTATTCCCTACTTTTTTTTTATTTTAAAACGCGACATTTGCAAGATTAATTATTTTGCTCCTCGTTGCCGCGATTGTTTATACAATCGGAACGAGTGAAATTGTAAAATCGAGGGTTTAGAATTGTTCGAAACCATTGTCTTTTCTGCGCATGTGTATTCGCGTCGCTGCGCACCGAAATTCAAACGATACGACCGCCATTTTGTCCAACCCTATCAACCCTATTAGTTCGAAAGAAGATATGTCGGAAAAAATGTTTTCGGTTAGCCCGTCGAATATATAGGATAGCTCGACGATTAAAGAGAAACGTGCGGGTACTTACTTGCGAACCACCCGTTGGATCCCAGGACGTCGATGTTCATAGCGTACCGAATGTTCGAGGAAACGTGTAATCTCGCGAACACACCGCTCCCCGGGCACTCTCTCGTTCTCTACACCGTGCTTGTAAACTCGAAACGACACTTTTACCGCCGCGCGCGCGCGCGCCGCGAACGTGCACGATTTTCGGAGGATTCACCGTTGCCGCGTTCCGCACCTCCTTCGCCCGGCGTGGTGTACCCGGTCAGCTGGAGAGACGAGCGTGGAATCGGTCAGGGTTCGTCGCGAACAGAGTGGTCACAGTGTAGCTCGTGCCCCGGCAACATCGGCTTCGCTACTATTCCCTGGTTGCACATGTTCCTCGCTATTAAGCAGTCTTCACGCTGACCGCGTTCACCGCAGAGATAGTGGATGCACCGGGACCGAACAGTACGCGGCGGCGATCTGCGACAAATCATTGACAGGAAATCAGGATCACGTGTCACGTGACTTATCGGCGGACTCGATGCTCATAAATATCCCTCTGTCGACCGTTCGGTCAACTTTGCGACATCCGGTTTCGCAAACGACGTCCCTCTACAAATCGAAGGAGATATTGTACTCGCTTTTTCGAAATTCATCGAACGAACAGGAAGAAATTCTGTTTTTAAATAAATATATTTAATTAATATATGTATATTAATTATATTGTATATATTAATATATATTAATATATTTAATATATATATTTTTCGTCGGACGTCGCACTCGACTTAGCAGGTTCACGTAAATCTTATCGGGAATCTGCGATGTTTGTTTACGAAGTTTCTTGAACAAATGATAGCTCAACCGTGTGTCGCAGATTTTTCATCGATCGGAACACAACTCGAACGATCGTAGTTTAATATCGCGTCGCATCCGTTCCCTATTTCTTTTTAATTTTAAAACACGATATTTGCAAGATTAATTATTCTGCTCCGCGTTGACGCGATTGTTATATTCGAACAGCGCAACGTTTCGACGTGTCGCGGGACTTTATATTCACTCGGAAGAGACCTCTATCGATTCTTCACGGAAATCCACCGTTTCATGGAAACGCAAATTTTCTCCCGCGTCCTTCCTTTCTAACCTTTTTTCCCCTTCGTTTTCGAAGGAAACGCGCGAAGATCGACGAACTTACTTTTCCGTCGAACATGTTCGGCTACCGGTTTCGTTGAAACGAGGCACGTCGAATCAAAATATATACGACGGATTCGTGACACGCGGTTATCGTGTGACAGCTCGGTATGCGTGGCCGCGAATTCTTGGCGCGCGACAAACAACGTAATGACCGGCGATGTTAATGCGGACGTGTTTCTACTGACAACCGAACGAAGCTAATCGTCCCAAAGAACCTCGCAGGACATCCTCGCCGGTGACATTTTTTTTCACCGCGGGCACAAACGATCGCGTTTCGACTCTCACGAACCACGGGTGAAACTGACATTCCGGGCCGCGCGCGCGCCTGTCGAATTTTGATTCGTCGAATTGACACGGGCGGCGGATGTGTCACTGTTTAGGCTACGGTAGGTCGAACGGTATATACAGCTACCAGGCTAGAAGGTCGAATTCAAATTTTCGACGCTGGAACTGTCGCGCACTTGTAACGATATCTTTATACTTTTCTACGAACCGCAACACCGCAAAATATTCTCTTAATTACTGTTAATTGTTAAATCGTTAATTTCTGTTAATTGTTAAATATTCCAACTTCTCGAACGTAGTCTTTTCGCTGGAGCAACGATGCTTTAAACGTCGCGCGAAGAAAAGACGCGATACAAGCTTTCAGGAATCGAGATAACGAAAATAATATTTCAAAACGTTCTGTTCGCTGGTTTCGACGCGATTTACGTAGCAGCGATCCGTGTAACAATGTTTCTAAGGCCGGGACGGCGGTAACGCGATTCGTCGAGGGGGCATTGTGAGTGGTTAAAAAAGAAGATTCCCGGGGAGACAAATAGTATCGAGGGAATGTATCTGCATGCCAAAGCAGGCGGTTATCGGGTCGGGTGATCGAATAAAGAAAGAAACGTTCTAGAGTTACCTTCTGGCCGGGCAGCAGGTCCTCGGCCGCCGATCGAACCGGGCGGAGATCCTCGTCCGGAGCTCTCTCTCTCTCTCTCTCTCTCTCTCTCTCTCTCTCTCTCCCTCTCGCTAACTTTATTCCAGAGATTCGTTTACGAAAAGTTCGAGAGCCCGACGGGGGGAGCCAACCGTGTGTGTGTCCAATGCGAAAAGAGACTGGTAACCCCCTGAAGGCGTGCGAGACTGTCTGCGCACGAACCAGGCACCGGTTTTCCGAGGCGCGTCCGATTCGCGTGGGTTAGCCCGCGATTGTTGCTCTCGCGCGACGTTTGCCCGGCCTAAGAAGAGTACTTAGTTCGCGTAGTTGAGTGCGGGCGTAATAAGACTGGCTGCTGACGGCGGTAGCGCGGTTCGTGCCCGCGAGCGGCAGCAGCCATGGAAGCCCCTCTACCATGGCACTCTCCTGCAACTCCTCCGAGCAAGCCAGCCAGCCATCCGTGCCGACTCGCCTGCCTACCAGGGCCCAGAGTGGGCCCCGGTACCGGAGTCCCATCCTGAATCGAAATGGTCGCTTTGCTTTCCGTGCTTTGCGCGAATCATAAGAGGCCTCGGGCCACGCTTCGCTTCGGGGGACCGAGAGGGGTCCCCACGTGCTGGATTTCGCCCGCGGGCTGCTCCGTCGATAAGGCAGTTTCAGGCATCCCATAGGGCCCTCCGTAATTACGTACGGTGGTCCGCAAATTCGCATCGTCGTCGTTCGTACGTTGCTCGTTAGAATGTCGTTTCGCTCCTAGAATCTGATAAGGGATATTCTGTAGCTTTTCGTACACTGCCTGTTTCACCGTAACAACGAACTTCGCGTGTCCTCTACGCATCCATCTACAAAAGAATTATTGTCGTCAGATTATGTGCATTTTGATATATTGTATTGTGCAGCTCGGTCGTTTGCACGGCCTGCATATAAATAACTATACGTCACCCGCGTATAGATAAAATCATAATACCATCGTGTCAAGTAATATCGGCTATGGAACCAGGATACGTCGCCTACTTTTTTTTTTAGCTTGAGACCAATCCAGTTAGCATCCAGGGTTACCGAACTATCTAAGAGTCGATCGAAATTATTGGAGTAGAACCGGTAGGAGGTTGACTTTAAATGACAGGAATATGAAAAGAAGATTAAGGATCCACCTCCGAAACGTTAAATCCCTTCCTCTGTCTGGAACGGCGGCCCAAGCTTCCGCAGTTTGCGCAGCAGCAGCGGCTTGGTGACCAATGCTTTTTCAATCGACTCGATCAACACCTGTTCCTGATTGTACGGTGGAAACGGCATTCCCTCCAAGTTGTAAACGAACACGTTGCCATTCATATCCGCGGTCACCAGTCGGTTGCCATCTGCCGTGAAATCGACCATCACCAATCTGGCACTCTTCGGCGACACCGTGACGGACGCGGGGGTGTGAATTTTTCTGCGGATATCCCAAATGCAAATCTCGTTGTTGACGATGGACACGATGATCGTGGAGTGGGTGGGGCACCAGGCTGCGTACCGGACGCATGCCATCGCGGTGGACAGCGTGATCAGAGGCTCCGCGAGGCCCTCGGCCCAGATTCTGGTGCACCAATCGGCGCCGCACGTTAGGAAGATCTTCGGGCAGAACGAGGAGAACATTATCGAGTATACGGGGCCGTCGTGGGCCAGGAAGCTCTCGATGTGCTGATACAGGTAATTCGTCGAACACTTGTAGATGCAGCCTTCGTCGGAGCCGACAAAGTAAACGGCGCTCAGTGTGGGGTGTCTGCGGAGCACCAACGCCCCCGGACTTCGATTAATCAGCGTATCGTGACCGACGCAGTGAGAGGTTCTTGCTACCCCCGGTAGTGTGCCCTCTATCCTGTAGATCTTCATGATAGTAGTCGATAAGAAGTTCTCGGCGTATTGGTAGCAGAATATATGACCGTCCTGGTCGCACGTGTAGATCTGCTCCTGGTAGTCGAAGTGCTCGTCCCCGGGCCACCATTGGACTTGCCACTGCGGCGAACAAGATGGAGACGTGATCCTCTCGCTTTGCCGGATCACATTCTTGTGAATAGTGCTCACGTCCAGCACCTTGATCTGGCCGTCGTTGAATCCAATAGCTAATAAGTTCGGCCGATCACGACTCCAGTCCAAGTCCGATATAGGACTCTCGAACTCGTACCAACGACCCGGCAGATGAGGATTCTTTGCCGACCAGATCAACAATACTCCGTCCTTGATCTCCGAATGTGCCCGTGCTCCGTAGCCCACCGCCAGAATGTTCGACATGACGTAACTCCAGCGGAACGAAGTCACCGGACGGCCTTCGCTCATTTCAAATTTGTGTTTCCAGAGCAAGTCCAGGCTGTAGGTGAACTCCAGGTCTAAGCTGCAAGGGTCTTGCTTGATCAAGCCGATGAAACGCTTCTGCGCGTTAATGAAGATGTTGTTGGATATGATGCGTTCCATTACTCGCACCGCGTTCGCGAAATTCACGTTTTGGAAGATCTCCTCTAGCTGCTCCTCCGGCGCCTTTGTTTTCTTATGTCGTTCCAACGGCGGCAACTTGTCTCGCAGTTCCTGGGGAGAAGGTTAAATTATATTAAGCTGATATGAAAAGGTGATACGAAAGGTAATATATATATATATATATATATATATATATATATAATAATAATAATAATAATAATATGTAATATTAATAATAATAATAATANCACCAACGCCCCCGGACTTCGATTAATCAGCGTATCGTGACCGACGCAGTGAGAGGTTCTTGCTACCCCCGGTAGTGTGCCCTCTATCCTGTAGATCTTCATGATAGTAGTCGATAAGAAGTTCTCGGCGTATTGGTAGCAGAATATATGACCGTCCTGGTCGCACGTGTAGATCTGCTCCTGGTAGTCGAAGTGCTCGTCCCCGGGCCACCATTGGACTTGCCACTGCGGCGAACAAGATGGAGACGTGATCCTCTCGCTTTGCCGGATCACATTCTTGTGAATAGTGCTCACGTCCAGCACCTTGATCTGGCCGTCGTTGAATCCAATAGCTAATAAGTTCGGCCGATCACGACTCCAGTCCAAGTCCGATATAGGACTCTCGAACTCGTACCAACGACCCGGCAGATGAGGATTCTTTGCCGACCAGATCAACAATACTCCGTCCTTGATCTCCGAATGTGCCCGTGCTCCGTAGCCCACCGCCAGAATGTTCGACATGACGTAACTCCAGCGGAACGAAGTCACCGGACGGCCTTCGCTCATTTCAAATTTGTGTTTCCAGAGCAAGTCCAGGCTGTAGGTGAACTCCAGGTCTAAGCTGCAAGGGTCTTGCTTGATCAAGCCGATGAAACGCTTCTGCGCGTTAATGAAGATGTTGTTGGATATGATGCGTTCCATTACTCGCACCGCGTTCGCGAAATTCACGTTTTGGAAGATCTCCTCTAGCTGCTCCTCCGGCGCCTTTGTTTTCTTATGTCGTTCCAACGGCGGCAACTTGTCTCGCAGTTCCTGGGGAGAAGGTTAAATTATATTAAGCTGATATGAAAAGGTGATACGAAAGGTAATATATATATATATATATATATATATATATATATATATATATAATAATAATAATAATAATAATATGTAATATTAATAATAATAATAATATATATATTAAGGTGATACGAAATACAGTACGAGAAACTCAAACCTCCTCCTCCCACAGTCGTTCCATACTCTCCTTGGTGCGCACAATCAACAGATTGTTCCTTTCTGTCATCAGATCGGGCGCGGCATAGACGTCGTGCATCACCCAATTGTTCACGAACGCCGCCTGGTTCTTCCGCGTGTTGCAGCGGAGGTACGTGCCACGCGACTTCGTGAGAACTTGTAGAGTCTGGGTTTCGGAGTTGACCAGCTTCCTGTTCGATCCGGGCCCTGTCGTCTTGTACTCGTACATCTCGTTCTCATTGCGGATCGCCAATCCCTCCGGTGTCCGCAGATCGCCGGTGTACGGTAGCATCTCAAAGATGAAGAACGTCTCCGTCTCCCTGAGCGTGATCGTCACGGTTTCCGGTCGGCACGGGAATATATTCGGGTCGATGCTGCGACAGAGAAAAATGACTTTCAGGAGATTCGAGTTTTCAAACCAGATCGGCGATTACCTAGGCAGGTAGAACTGCGACGGTGCTTTGTCGACGGTATCGATGCTGCGAGAATCGGTGAGCTGCGTGGACCAGAAGCTCTCGAACTGCATGGCCTCCATGATCATCGAGCTGGCCGGAAGCGAGGAGGTCCTGACCAGCATGGACGAGCTCTTCTTCAGGTTGTCGATCGTGGAGCTGGAGGACAAATGGCCGGTGCTACCGACTCGGATCAGCCCGATCATTTCCAGAGCCGTGATGTTCCGCTCGTCGATCGCGCTGTATTTAGGATGGCTCAGTATCTTAGGGGTTACGTCAGAGTTCTCGTCGATTATCCGAATCGACTGCCGCTGCATAAGAAGCGGCGACGCGACGTTCTTTCCCGTTGTCTTCCTCTGTCGCCCGTACATGCTCATCTTCAGCCTCGAGGACAGTGGACTCTCCAACTTCCCCGAAGAGGTCAGCGGCGACAATCCTAAGTCTTCCGACTTCATTCTAGAAACGATCTTATATTGATCTACCTAATTCGAACTCCCCGCACGTGCTCGGTATTGATAAATGAGATCATTCGTCGCGCCAAACTATCCTACGACATTGACTGCAATGTAAACAGCACGGTTATCCTTTAACGCCATGGTGATAGAAAAATCGATTACGAGTTAACCATAGCATCGCCGATACCTTGCGATCCTTTCTTCGACGTCCGCTCGAATATAATGTTTTTTCGGTATTTACATTTAATAGAACCGTGATCGAACGATCGTTGCAACGTATCGAATTTGTGTCAACAACTTGAATCCGCGTCGAAACGGTTCGAACGATCTGCGAAGCGCAGGTTCTACGGTACTCGAGCGTACTCTATCGATCCGACGCGGAAGCTTCTTGAATCGTGTTCCAGGTACAGGTCGATAAAGTGTTGGAGACGGTGCTCGGCTACGGTACAGCGTTAATCAAGTGGTGGTTTTAAAGTAACCATATTAAATATCACGGATGGACAACTGTGGGCTCGGTCGAGGTCTGATCTGATTAAAATAAACCGTACAGATCGCGCGAACGTTCGCACGTTCGAGCACGATCGTCGACGATAACGTTTCGGGGCGGATAAGCGGTGACGCTTCGTCGTCCAATCTCTTACGTGTTATTCCGAACATCCGTTTCGCGAAAAATCATGAAAATCATTTGAGGGCACTTGCGCAATTGCGACTGTGGTGTACGTGATTGTACGGCCGATCCTATTTCGAAAGAGTGTCGTGTCTGCGAAAGGGTAACAGCGCGCAAAGGGGGCCCCCGCATTCGAAAGACCCGAAGTAAGTGACACGAATTATGTCAGCAATGGCAGGCACTGCTCGATTCATATTTTGACGGGGCTCGCGCGACCTTTGCTTTGCCAAATAGAATCGGGCCCGATGTACTTTCGATCGTCGCTCGATCTTTCAGCTAATTCATTCCGATCAAAGGGACGGCCCCGTGCTTGACAGATCGTCGACTGGATCGATACAATTGCAGTGTAACGTACGGGAACGCGTCGATGCTATTTTTCGCTTCTACGCTTCTTATTGTGGAACATATGACTTCCGATCTTTGTTGCATGTTGCATCGGGGATCGAGAACAGATTCGAGGGACACGGGATTTACACGATCGTAAACGCCAAATCACACCGTTTCTTTAACAATATGCAATCTTAACCTGTCCACACGTATCTTAACGTTTTTTTTCTTCGACGATCGCCCGTTACACAATTACGACCGCCTGGATACTGTCACATCGTTGTCTAATACTAATCATTTTCTTGCCCGTGATAATGTCAATGCCAAGCGATAAAAAGCAGATACAACAACGAAATTCTTTGACTTTGTCATTGCGGAATGCGAGAACGTCGAATAAGTAGTAGTTGCACGTCTGACGGTGTCTTTTTTTTTTTTTTTACTATTTTTCGTTCATAATTATATACTGTGTAGTAATTGTAGGTGACTTGGTTTATAAAGAAAATCCGTCGAAATGAGCACTACAAAAGAAGAGGCAGGTCCGTCAAAATCATGGGACTCTTCCACGGGGGAAACAGAAAAGGATAATCGAACCTTCGAATGCAATATTTGTCTCGACACTGCCAAAGATGCAGTTATTAGTATGTGCGGACATTTGTTTTGGTAAGATCACAATTATGAAAGCTTTATATGTACGTGTACGATGATTGTTCGTGACATAATACAAACTATTGTAATCATTGCGATACAGTTGGCCATGCTTGCACCAATGGTTAGAAACCCGTCCGATAAAGCAAGTGTGTCCTGTCTGTAAAGCTGCTATCAGCAAAGACAAAGTCATTCCATTGTATGGGCGTGGAGATACAAGGCATGAAGATCCTAGGTATATTTTTTTCGTATTCGCATATTTCATACTGGATTACAGGAATTGCTCCCATAAGGAGACAGCTCCGCTTCTAGGCAATTTGAGTAAACTAGCAGAAAACGACTAAATATAAAGTAATGTTTCAAACATGTAACAAATTCATAATTAACTAATATTTTTGTTAATAAATTTGTACCTCGAATGTGAAACATATATTTTTTACTCTTACTGTTCCGTTTAAAACATTTGAGCTGCCTCCTCTTTGAATGCAGCATATAATTTCCAAAAAACAATACAGCTGCATCTTTTTGGTACTTATTTTCTAAGGTAATCACGAAGTGCTTAAATGTATTATTCCAGGAATAATGTTCCACCTCGTCCTGCCGGGCAGAGAACAGAATCCGAAAATAACGTCGGATTTTCCAGTTTCGGATTCGGTGATAATTCTTTCATGTCGTTTGGTATTGGAACATTTCCATTTGCATTTTTGACATCGACTTTCAATTTTGGAGAAACACGACCAAGCGCAGGTAAGGCATAACGCAAGTGAATCTCAAGTAATTTCTGCAATTTCTTTAGAAATATACAGGGTGTTTACACATGGATTGTGCTAGAACCAGGAAAGAGGTAATTTCTTGCGAAGAAGTAAGTGGAAAAGTATAAAACAAAATTTTTGGTGCGTATCAAATTATCCTTTTTTATTGTACTATGATTTCAGAAGTACCCTGTATATGTCTAGAGAAATTACAAGAAGTTCTGAGCTTCGTGCACACAGATTGCATTTACAATCGATTTGAAAGATTCATGTGGTTGTTCTTGTTTAGCTGCTACAGGAACACCCCACTATGAAGAGGAGCAATTTCTTTCGAAAGTGTTTCTATGGGTGGCATTGTTATTCATCTGTTGGCTTCTAATGGCATAACATTTTTGTTGAACCGTATTTCTTGCTCCATATTTTGTAATGTTATCCACTTGTTGGATCGATTCATTACACATTTATTAATACATCAATCTTTCCCCGTTTGTGTAATTATTGTTACTCACTGTAGTAACTATACCTGCTTGAATAAACAAACGGGTTTTAATTGTTTTAGCTTATAACATTTTTACATGTACATACACTTTATTTTTAATCTTTTGTGATTACGAGCAATAAATTTTCTATATAAACATTACACGAATCGATGTTGTTATTGGCAGTGTAAGAGTGGTATAAGTTGTCATCTCTTGTATTTATGCTTTCCACCGAGTACGCATATTCAAGCAGGTTTCTTTTTGTAATGGCTTTAGAAAATCTGGAACTTACGATATTCATGTATATATATATATATATATTATATATGTAAAAATATATCACATTTAGATATGTAAGATATTATCCACTTTATGCAAAACAACACATCTGTAATTTGGTTATTAGGATATTTTAATTAGAAAATCATGAAGTTTTGTAATTTCCATGAGCTACAGGAAAAAGTAATGTATATAATTTAATTGTTAAGTAAAATTGATAACACAAGCAAGCAAAGTAAGATAAAATACAGAAACATAGCTTATTTATTTCAGTTTTCATTTGCGCTAATGGTTGTGGATGTAGACGTTTAAAAACAAGGTAATTGCAGTAACAGAAATGTGTCACAAAACACGAAAACCAATTTTCAGTTTACATTTCGATTCAATGTTGCATCAGCGACTGAACTGACAGTAAATTGACATTCCACATGTAGTTCCATTATCTATGAAAGCCATTTAACGTGAAAAAAAGATCTTTGAATGTATTTCGATCGAAAAAAAAACCGTTGCTAATGTTATTTGCTATATATAAATTGTATTTTTTGGCAGTCAGACATTGTATATTGCCTTACAAGTTTATTAAATACATAAACGCTATAATAAACATAAAATAAATGCATTAATTAAAAAGATATAAAACTTCTTCTTTAATGAAACTTTACGCCCTTGTTTCAAGTGATAGTAGTTTTAAATTAATACAATTATTCAAATCTTTAATTCATATTTTTATTAGAGACCATAAGTGAAGAACATAGAATAAATAAATCGAATAAACAGAAGGTACCCTACATAATAAGTTGCAATTGTACCAGGCCCTGTTGTGCTAACTAATTGTTGGTTGGTAAAATTTCATCCAGGATTTCCATGGAGAACTCTCTCTCGTTATTTCTTTACCTATTTCAGCGTTTGCGTCCGAACGAAAATATGTATACAACCATGAACTATACATCTATGACCTAAATACTACATTTGATATCTGACTTTCTCTCTTATCGCCATTCGTCGAGACATATAATACAATAGAACTATCGTAGCCACGTTCGTGAGTTCCCGTAACGAGGAAACATCTATTTAATGCAGGGTTGTCAACAGACTTGGAATCTAGTACATATTTTTACGCGCCATTCGGACGCATATACAAACGTATTGACTGAAAACAACATATATGTATATATCGAAAGTAAATCAGACTGGATACGATTGTGCGTTTCTCACATTATGTGATATAATTCGAAATCATATCGTGAGATCAACGGAGACGGTAATGTACCTTACAACATTGACAGACCTTGCGCAACAAGTGATTCACAGAATGCTTATATCTATATACAAATAAACGTAAAAACACGTAATAGAAACATGCTTACAAAAGTACCATTCGATTCCTTACTAAGCCCTATAAAAGAATTCCCAAAATTCATAGTTATTCTAACACTAAATGCATTCTTGATTTTATACTCTATATCTCATCCTTTACTGGCTTTCTGGTAAAACCTTTAGAAGTTAATAAGTTATTGCATTCTTCCCTGGTTAATTGGGACAGTGGTAACCTTTCTATTTCCTGCAAAATGAAAATTATATAAGTATCTGATAACAGACATGTATTTTTAAATCTATTAATTGCAATGTACCTCATTATTGTGATCAAAGAGCACAAGTTCTGGCTCTGCACCACGAATATGTTTAAATTCGACGTTATCGCTGTAAGACACATTGTAAGGATTTATATAAAAATATTTAATGATCCATGGAAAATATTTGTACTATATGATACACCATAAAAACATGTTTACGACAGCTTGAAGGAAATACATTGCGCATAGATAAGAAAGAGGTGCAATTGAAAATCATAAATCTAGTTATTATAAGTTAGTCTTCTCGGATTTCCGCATATGATTGCAACTCTGTATGGTACAATTATGAATCTTATGTAAGGATAAGTAATTGCTTCGTCTTACATGCAAATCAAAAAATCAGCGAAGACTAGATCCAGAAGGTCTTTTGTTTTTAACAACTAATGTATATCGAAATATCGATATTGCAAGTGATTTTTAATTAAGGATACTAAGTGGGTACATCTTTGTAGACAAAGTCCTTTACGTCTGGAAGCCGGTTCAGAGTGCAACCGCCGCAGCTCTGGGAACATATTTGTTGTCATTCGAAATGATTAGAATTTTACATGAAATTGTGACATACTAATATAATGAATTTTATGTATAATAAAAATGTATATGTTCCGTACCTCAACCTTTGCGGATCCATAATAATTAGATGCGGAATCGACGTTCAAAACTGTCAAAGCAAGCGTGAGACAGTAGATGACAGCCACCGTAGGAGCCATGTTTATTCACTAACTAAAACGGAAGTGCTATCTATACATATATACCACGATTTTTTAAGACTGCACTGACTTCAGTGTCAGCTAAAAAATCGTTATTATGTAGACATTATTTTTTTCGATGTTACTTACACGATATTGCTTTAGTAATTTTTGTAAATATCAAATTATTGTCTTTTATGAAAAATAAGTTTTTATTATCGTTATTTTACATTGTATTTTCATTTTTTGGACTTTATATGTAACTCGCGCGTTGTAATATGTTTGTAATTTAAATATTCCACAGCATTTTCAACGCAGCTCATAAATGTTTTCTTGTGAAATACACGAATCATCAACTGTTCATGCAAATTGTTTAAATTTATACAAAAATTGATGAATGTAGTGAATGAGTTAATTGTCTTGCGCAGTCAGTATGTACATCTCGTATGTGTGAAAATGGCGCTTTCTTGTGCAAGTAAGTTTTTCTTCTTTTAATTGATATTTTTCAATTAGATGTACAGACTATATATTTATATTAGATTCGCGTAGATAACTTACAGCGAATGATTTGAAATGAATCGTATTTTTTTGAGAATATTGAAACCGATGCCGGCAAACACTAAACATAGCCTAAAATGCTTCACATTGCCGTCGCTGTCTTCTACAACTAAATAAATTTTCAGTTTCCAATGAAGTGCCGGAGCACCCCGTCATATCACCTGTGTCGGGCTCCATATTCGAAAGGCGTTTAATCGAGAAGTACGTGAATGAAAATGGAGTGGATCCTATAACAGGGAAAGAATTGACCATTGAACAGCTTATCGATGTCAAAAGTATGTTGTTAAACCTTTATCTTGGACAGACTATCTTCCATCGATATTCATTTCTTACGTTTTCTTACAGCTACTCCGATAGTTAAGCCTAAACCACCAAGTGCCACATCCATCCCAGCTATATTAAAAATTCTGCAAGATGAGTGGGACGCTGTGATGTTGCATTCTTTTACGCTTAGACAGCAACTTCAGACAGCTAGACAAGAATTATCTCATGCCCTGTATCAGCACGATGCAGCTTGCCGTGTTATTGCTAGATTAACGAAAGAAGTCACTGCAGCAAGAGAAGCTTTGGCTACTCTGAAACCACAAGCTGGAATTGTGCAAGCTACCACCATTCCACAACCTGTACGAAAAACATATATTATCCTTATGTATAATTCTTCCTAATTGTCCTTTAGCTTGTAAACAAAAATGGGCAATTTGGAAAGAGGAAATACGATTGTTCCAGCCTTGTGCCTTGTTTTTATAGTTGTTGACAATCGGTGTTTATTTACAAGCTGAAGGATAACTGGGGAGAATTTACTGTGGTAAGACCTGTATTATAAAACATGCTCTGTTACAGGCGGTTGCAGTTGAAGCTGGTGGTACTGCAGCCCAGCCCATGGAACAAGCCGGTATTACCGAGGATGTAATACAAAAACTTCAAGAAAGGGCTACAGTACTTACACAGGAAAGGAAACGCCGCGGCCGTTCAGTCCCTGAAGATTTGATGCCGCAAGATAGTATCCGCGCTTTTCAGACACTCGCGTCACATCCTGTAACTTTCTTTGCTCAATTTTGGTTCATTGAAAGCTTCTGAGCATGTTATCATAATTTTTGTTTGTTCAAGGGTCTTCACTCTGCCAGTGTACCTGGCATATTAGCATTAGATATTCATAGTGCGGATACTAGCAAGATTTTAACTGGTGGTGCTGATAAGAATGCTACAGTATTTAACAAAGACACGGAGCAAGTAGTTGCTATATTAAAAGGACATACCAAGAAGGTGTGCAAATCGTTCCTGTACTTCTACGTCTTTAGAATCTCTTGGTACTCATGGACTGTATTTTAATACCGCCAGGTTACAAGAGTAATTTATCACCCTGAAGAAGATATAGTAATGACTGCATCGCCTGACACTACAATACGAGTATGGAATGTAGGCACTAGTCAAACGACATTGTTGTTGAAGGCTCACGACGCTCCCGTAACTGGTCTCTCTTTACATCCAACTGGCGATTACTTGTTGAGTTCGTCGCTCGACCAACATTGGGCATTCTCAGATATTCGTACTGGTAGATTACTGACTAAGGTATATCATATAAAAAGAATTAGTAAATTTCAACCAGATTCTGCAATATATTCTGACGTATGTTTTACTCTATTCTAGGTCGCCGGTCAAGTTAGTCAACCTTTGACTACGGCTCAGTTCCATCCCGACGGATTGATTTTCGGTACCGGTACTGCGGACTCCCAGGTGAAGATTTGGGATTTGAAAGAACAATCAAACGTAGCTAATTTCCCCGGCCACTCGGGACCAATTACAGCAATTAGTTTCTCCGAAAACGGTTACTACTTAGCCACCGCTGCCGAGGACTCCTGTGTGAAATTGTGGGATTTACGCAAGTTGAAGAACTTTAAGACACTTCAATTAGAAGAATCGTACGAGGTCAAAGATATTTGCTTCGATCAAAGCGGCACATATTTAGCAGTTGCCGGAACAGACGTGAGGTGAATACTGCGCTCCATTGATCGTTCGGTTGCTATTGGAATTATGTTACTACTTAGTTGTATTCTATTTCAGAGTGTACTTGTGCAAGCAATGGCAAGAACTGAAAGTGCTCAACGATCACACAGCAGCCGCGACCGGTGTCCGTTTTGGAAAGCATGCACAGTACATAGCATCAACTAGTATGGACAGGACATTAAAACTTTATGGACTACCTTAAATACATAGTTATAAGATCATCTTAATTTAAGCACAATTTAAATTAGAGCCGGTAGCATAAGCTTATTACGATGAAAAGTGGCGAGTCTTTCTAATATTTGTATTATTTGATTCATACATAGTAGTTCCACTTTCAAACACGTTAAATGAATTTACAGTAAAATAGATAAGTCTTACATTTGTTCTGAATGTTACTTGAAACTAGTTTTAAAGTCTTGCTTCCGTTCTAGTATCAACACGAAGACAATGTTTTATACACTTTTTAAAATCGTTCTAAAGGCAAATCACATTTATACCGTTTATAGAAAATGTAAAGGACCGAGACGTATGAATGTTGTTAACTGTTAATGAATTCGTTTCGAATATCTTGTAAGACAAAGTACAAATGTCGAATAGCAGTGCGTGGTATTATAAAACCGATATTGTATAGGTAATTATTTTTATGAAGATATGTGTATGACACAGTTTCTTGACTGACGTTTACCTCCACTCAGGATACTTTTTAAAAGAACTGAAATACAATTCGTTCGGAATAGAAAACTGTTTTGCCTATTACTTTATACAAACGTATGCGCAATTACTTTTCCCAATATTTTAAACAATTTGTTCATTTAAATTTGTAGTATTTATAAAATCTCGATTTTCTAACGAACTATCGCTTATGAATAGGATTTAAAATTTATTAGTGCTCTTGATCCCGTTCCTGATTTAAAGAGTTTGTAAATTATTATCATTAAACATTTATTTCGTCTCTTAATCATTTTAATAGATCGAAGATAGTATGACAATGTTTTTTAATTGTTCAAATGTTCTCAGTGCTATGTATTTGATCGACTGATTTTTTTATTGCAAGTATATGAAATCCATAGTCTACTTATCATGCTTCCGAAAGTTGCAAAATAACGTGCGAGATATAACGTGAAATTGAATTAAAGTAAGAGCAATGTGGGACCGTTCAATTTACATCGCCGTCCTAATGGCGCCACTAGTCACGTGCTTTTTAACCTAACCTAATATCCTTTGTCCTCGATATCCAGCCCCGAATCAAATTAATAACAATGGCCGTCGTGCTTGATTGTCATACGGTGGTATACATGGATTATGTGACAGTGAGAAACGTGTGGTCAGTGTCAATCGCTGCCGTATGCTCGACGTGATTATCTCGCGGATGAAATCGTCGTGACGTACATTAATCGCGAAGGATGTTTTCTAGTGAGTGGTTGTATCGCAGTGTCAACTGGTAACCACGGATGACCAGCTGACAATGTTTTGGCATTAGCATAATTTGGTGGTTCGTGGGCGCTCGCGGTGTTTCCACGATGTTTAAAGCTGAGGGATCGTCCAAAGACAGCTTCCTTCAGCAAACGAAGGCCGCTAGGGAAGAAAGAGCCCATGAGAAGGACAGACAAGTCGCTGTCACCTTAATTCAAGCTTATGTTAGGGGTTGGTTGACCCGCAAAAGAATACTGTAAGTTCCTCGTCATTGAATCGTACCCCGATAATTCCAGATGATTCCCAGTTCGCTGTAAACAGGATATTTGTTTAGTTAATCGGTCGACGACGATTATTTACTTACGCGTTCGGAAATCTTCCGTTGGCTTGCTAAAGTGCATTCATCTTTATATTCGAATGTTTATTTAACGTTCTCCTTCGTGGAACACATTTTGTTCGTTATTTCTTCGTTGAAATAGGGTAATACATGCGTTACGAACAGTTGAACGAAAAATTACATTTTCAGGGAGGACTTTGACACAAATTTTCTGAACGATGGTCGTACAGATAATAAAGGTGAACTGAAACCTGCACAGCACATGTACAAGATTATTGCTAAATTTTTGTATGTATATAAGAAAGAAAGGGATCAAGGAAGAATAGAAAAATTATGTAGGTATGTGCATAAAAGAGTGCATAATTTGTCTTCTATGAAATGGGATGAAATGAAGTAAATACCTTCTAACAATTGTTTCAGATATTTAGTGTCAACTCTTGATTCAAAGTCTTTGGAAACTTCATACATAGGACTACTGATCAAAGATCGCTACATATCATGGATATTGCAGATGAAAAAGTTGCTTCTTTATTGTCTCAAGGGCTTGGATAATCTTAATCCGAAAGAAGCGTCTGACCATAAATCCATCCTTTTGAGATTAAGCACATTGATTAGTTTTACATCTCCGACAACATGGGCGATACAAAAAGTAGAAGGAATGGAGGTACTGAGAGCTGGAATGAATCAACTTTGTGCAAATATAATGGGCCACCTAGTCAACAATGGATTTTACCCAACTATGCAGGTAATCGATAACAATGATTCTAAACGTGATCCAAATGTGTTTTTCAATTAATTCCATTTGTTTTAGGCTTTCCTAATGAAGGGATTGGGTAGAAAGGAAATTGCTTTGAAACCGGTTACACTTACAATAGCCATTACATTGGCAATGAGGCCGTTAATTTCTTCCCAAATGTCGGATAAATTAGTATCACTGTTTTTGATTAATGTTTTCAGTGTTCCTGCACTGGTCTATCACCTGAACAACGTGTCCTCGGAGGTATATTGTGTAACACTAGTTGAAATTCTATTTTTAAACTATATACTAATTTTTACACATGTTTAGTGTATTTCATCATTTATCACCTACAATTTGTTTGCTCGAAGCATGGACTTGTTAAATTCCGAGCAGAATTTAAAGATAGTTTCTAATGCGTTTGAACGTAGCTATGCGCTATGTTTATTAGCTAATTTAATACAATTGGCTAATATCGAGAGGGAGGAGGTATTCAGGGAGCTATATTTTCCATCCTTCACGGTACATATTCTCATCACGTATTCATCGTGAAATATTTGTTCTACCATTTTTTAAAATGGGCATTAATTTATTATGATTTACCTCAGTTTGTTGTAACAAAAATGTTGGAAGCATGTCAACAATACGTTGTTGCAAAGAGGAGTAACTTAACGCATTGGCACCCAATTCTTGGGTGGCTGACACAGAAGATCGATAAAACTTTGCAAGAACCTATACCATACGTAAAATTACAATTGCAATATTTATGGACGGGTAGAATAGTAACACAGCTAATCGGTAAAATGAAATTCGTTATCATTTGAAATTACAGCGACTGAATTTTGATCGCATTCATGAATTTTCTTATTAGGTCAACCGTTGACGGAGCTCATAGAAAAAGAGATACCTCCGTCGGTAGAACAGCAAAGTACATCTGTTGGTACTAACATTTTTAGAAGAGCATTTTTGGAAGCACGTACAAATAGGAATAACAATACTAAAAATTATAGAAAACTAGGAAGTCCAGAAACTACCAAGATAGCTTTAATATGTTCCCTGTACCAAATTGGATTGCATACACTTACACAGATGAAAATGGAAATATTAACGGGTATGTATTATCCAACAATCTATTACAACGTATTACCTCGCAATCGTAATCGTCGTATATTTATACCGATAGGCTTATGCTACCACGATAAAATTTTATACCACATGTATGTATTCCTTGGAACCTTGGGCCCACACTGTGGTCTGAAAGCGTTTCTAGACCATTTAACTGCTAACACGAAATGCACAGCGCCTGAATTTCAAATGTTGATATTACTCTCGGATTGTATGACACACTATGTTACGTGAGTACATCCAAACACATTGTATATTAGACACCTAAATGCGTTAACAGCAATCGTATTCTTCCTCTATTTCAGAATTTTAGATGACATGGAAATGTATGAGCACCAAGATCCGTTCAAGCTTTCCGACTTCGTAACGATATCGTATTTTTTAAATCAGTTTTTATACAAAGCTGTACTCAATAACTTGTTTGGTGGGTAATTGAAAGTTGTGTCCGTATTCCTCGCATGATTGTTAACCGGTTTAGTTATGTACCGATATTTTAGATGTTCCAGATCCGAAATCGGTTCCTACAAACCCGTTGTTCACCTCTCTTCACACGCTGCTGATGGCGATCTATCGACGAGACTGTAGAAGAACGTTTTGCCCGGATGGACACTGGCTGGCGAAGTTAAGTCTACAGTATAGACTGTCGAACAATACATCTGTTAGAGCCTTCAGCGCGGTTTTTAAAATTGTAGTATTTCTACATAAAACAGGAAGTTCGAGTGTCCGGTTTCCTGGCGGACTTGGAGAAGGAAAAACGCGGCGCTGCTCTACTTCTTTCCAAGATGCCTCACGTGATCCCGCATTCTGAACGCGTAGTGTTATTTCGCAAGCAAGTGGTCAACGAGAAAGCCGTATTGGGTTTGACGGAGAGCGCATGCAACAGCACCATAACAACGCTGATTGTTGTCCATAGGTGTGTATCTAGGGTTCCGATCACCCAGAAAGACTTGAAGACAGAATTAGACCAAGAATTTGCTTTCAGGACGCGTATAGTGGAAGATGGATATCGTCAGCTTGCAATGTTGCCGTCTCAGGCGTTGAAAGGACTGATTAGGGTGCGTTTTGTAAACGAGCAGGGTTTGCCGGAGGCAGGCATCGACCAAGACGGAGTGTTCAAGGAGTTCTTGGAAGAGACGATAAAGAAAGTTTTCGATCCATCCTTGAACCTGTTCAAAGCTACCTCTGAGAACCGACTGTATCCGTCGCCGACGTCCTCTGTGCAAGACAACCATTTGCAGTTGTTCGAATTCGTTGGCCGCATACTGGGCAAGGCTGTATACGAAGTAAGTTCACTGATAAATTAGCGGATAGCACCCGAGATCTTTTTGGCGATATCGCTTTAATTATATTATCTTTCTCAGGGTATTGTCGTGGATGTACCTTTCGCCTCCTTCTTCGTTTCCCAATTTTCTGGGCAAACTGGTGGGGCACTGTACAGCTGGTTAGACGAGTTGGCCTCGCTAGACAAAGATTTGTATCGGAGTCTCACTCTGGTGAAACATTACAAGGGTGACGTTAGCCAGTTAGAACTGACTTTCTCTCTCGACGAGGACGTTCTAGGCAAGCTAGTTACGCACGAATTAATTCCTGGAGGGCGAGCGGTGCCGGTCACCAATGAAAATAAATTCTATTACATACACTTGATGGCTCATTTCAGAATGCACATGCAAATCAAGGATCAGACTGCCGCCTTCATCAAAGGGTTCCGTTCTATAATTAATCCCGATTGGTTGGCTTTGTTTTCAACGCCAGAGGTAAGACGAAACTTGATGTACGGCTACGACGATAAATCGTGCAGAGATTCTTACGTGCTTTCTTTCCTTAGTTACAACGATTAATCTCGGGCGACAATGTTCCATTAGACTTAAGAGACCTACGAAAACATACGAAATACTACGGCGGTTTCCACGACAGCCATCGCGTGGTGTGTTGGTTGTGGGACATTTTGGAGAACGATTTCTCGGAAGATGAAAGGGGCATGTTCCTTAAGGTACATTTTTCAATATTCCATCTCGAGGATAGTAATAGTAATGCTTCCTTTTTTCCTTCTTCATTTCAGTTTGTTACCAGCTGTTCAAAATCGCCTTTGTTGGGATTCGCCCATTTGGATCCACCATTTACCATCCGTTGCGTAGAGGTGGGGGACGATGAAGACACAGGCGATACAATAGGTAGGCAATTCTTTCAGTTGATCAATTATTGATTTAACGCGAGCATCTCCTGAACAATGTATTATCAAACAGGTAGCGTACTCAGAGGATTTTTCACAATTCGCAAGAAGGATCCGCAGAATCGTCTGCCCACGTCGTCCACATGTTTTAATCTACTTAAACTACCCAATTACCAAAAGAAGAGCACGCTACGAGAGAAGCTACGCTATGCGGTCACTAGCAACACCGGCTTCGAACTGTCTTAATCTAGAACCGACTTCGAAATCGCAGTGATGCCGTTGCTCAATAATATAAACGAAAATTTCTACACAGTGATCGAGTGGTGTCCGGCGAAAAATAAACAGAACCGAACCGAACGTGTGACGACAGCTCGTAAATGCTGTCTGTTTAATGTTCGAAAAAAGAAAAAAAAAACTGTTGTGCGTTTGATCGAGTGCTCGCACAAAATTTTACGAATGCATCGTGTGCATAAGGTGGAAGAACGTTCACTTTTGTTACCTTCGTAAGAGATTATTAACACTTTTATTTACCTCTGCTTCGTTTCATGATCAAGAAAATAGAATGAACTGCCTCCTGGTATTCTTTGAGGTTCTCATGAGATTTCAGTATGTAATACGTACGGGTGTGTATACGTGTAAATATATGCATACCCGTGACACCTTAATTTCAACACCGACGCTACGTCTTTTAATTTTAATTCTATAGAATTTCTCGCCAAATGAATAGATTACTTATGGTGTAAAGCACACTATACCTCATGAGCTTAATATTGCTAATACTTGTGCGCTTGTTAGTACATAAATACCATGGATTAATGTTAGACGATTAATAATGCAGTGACAAACGCGCGAGACAAAACGTTGAATCTGCGTGCCCATCGGTGCTTGGCGATCGATCGGAAAGGGGATTCAAATTTTAGGAAAGAGTTTACGAATTTTATGGAAGTCCGCGACTTCGTTATCAGAGAGAGAGAGAGAGAGAGAGAGAGAGAGAGAGAGAAGGAGGCAAAGAGAGAAAGAGCTATTTTTCGCAAAATTTTGTACAAATGTTTCACACGTTGCACGAAGAACCACACCGTGTAGATGTATCACGATGTATCACGAGCGTCGATGGGTTCAAAGTCCCTCATCGTGTAATGCACGTTCTTAATACGATCGAACAAGTTTGTGATGTTTGAATCCTCTGCGACTATACACTTTGTACGGGACCGGCGAGCATAAACAGAAAATAAAAGTGGGAGCACGAGGACTGTGTTATCTGCAATATAGCGTGGAATAACGGATACTAGAGCGAAATTTATTTTTTTCACGTTGTTCGCGTGCCGTTTCGGCGAAGCAGTAGAGAGAGAGAGGGAGAGAGAGAGAGAGAACATTGTCGACACGGAAATTCGGTCAGACCAAAGAGATAAAAAGAGAAAAGCCTATGTAACGCGCGAAGAGGTGGTTCGAGATTTGTAAAACCTTTTCATATTTTCCTACATGATCGTACATTGTAAGTTTCCAGGCCTGTATTCACAGATTATACTCACACGATCGCTTAGATGTAAGCGATCTAGAAGCAGGCGTTTCTAGAAGCAGGCGTTTCTAGAAGCATAATTGTAAATTGTAAGAAAAAAAAAAAATTAGACTTTAATAGTGTACCAACCAGGGTAAATGTGTCAATTACTGTGGGCCCCTCGACTACTGTGCCCGCTAATCGTATCTAAACGTAACAAAACTTGTTGACAAATTTTCAGACGCACTGGATAGATGAACGACAAAATGTGAAAAGTAAGACATTTCACGATACAAAAATTGTTTATATGTAAAAAATCTCACTGTAAATTATGGAGAGATCATATTTTAAGTAAATTATATTACATACTGTTTTATTTTATATGAAGAGAAAAAGAGAATTATAAGAAAAAGTCTGTGGAAAATATATACATGTAACACACCATAGAAAAATTGTTACACCATCTGGACCACAGTATTCGGTACGGTCTGTAGTACTTGAAGTACGGTAACTCGTTATGTGTATTTGCATGATCAGGGTACGATAAATAATTCGTACACTTACTTGTAACTTCGATTAATGTCTCAAATTCACTTTAATATTTTATTTGAACATATAAAAAAATTAAAAAAAAGGGCACAGTAACCGGCACATCGACCCTCGTTCGTTAAACGTGCTCAATGTGATCGCTAGAAAGACGACGAGAAATCACAAAGAATTATTTTCATTGTGTACAGAGCGAACGAAAAAAAAAGAAAAGAAACGAAAACACGAACACGGTAATTTTGGCATTTGTTATGTTTCGATCAGAGTTTTAATGGATTTGCTGCTCTCGCGTTGTTAATTGTGAATACATGCCTCGCTGATATGCGGTAGAATCGAACGAGAAACAACAAACAGATAATACTCTCCTTTATGGGTATAATTATCACTGGAACGATACATGTATATGATAAATGTGGATATCGATACAGAGACATGGTTATACGCAATAAAATGTCAAATAAAACTGTTACGGTTGTAAGATAAGACCGACGGAATCTATCGCGACGAAACCGATCCCCCGGTTTTCTTCGTAACGTCGTTCGTGCATCGTCGTCGCAACCGAGAACACCCTGTAACACCGAGAACCATCGATTTTCTCTTACAGTCGTATCGAAAAAAGTAAACAACTGCGCTTTGTAAATCGCTGGTTTCGAACTATTTGTAATTGCGTAGCATTTTTTATATGTGTAAGTTGTCACGACGCGGCAGAGGGACGAGAACGGTTTTTTAATTTAATACGTTCGACAGTGATTCGCGACGATCCTGTAAATATACACGTTCAACTATAACGATACTCGTCAAACGTCTGTTTCATTAACCCTCAACGAATCCATCGCAGATAAAAACATCTTCGATCGTTCGGTTCGGTGGTCGTCGAGTTTTCAAATTATCCCCCCTTTTCCCGGCGTTTCTTCGAGCAGGGAACCCTAATAAACGTTTCCAAACGTGAACGGATTTTTGCAATGTTTATTTATCGAGGCAGAAACGAGAGCAAAGTATCAGGATCTCGCATGCGATTCCGGGGGGGAGAGCGTACGAGGTTTAATTAAATTATAAAGTACAAAGGGTAAGGCGAGAGCATAGTCGGGTTGCATGTTGCACCGCGTATTTGCGAAGGGGACGCAGGAATCACTGACACGGCTGCGCGGTGGCTCGCCGCGCAGGTCACGTGACCGGCCTTTGTGAGCAGCTGGCGCTGTAGACGGCACAGTTCGCCTTCCCCTTCGGTTAGTGGCCAGCAAGCCTTCGTTGCGTGAACACGTGCGTCTCGTTCGTACCGCGACGATCCCTCCATCGCGGCTAACGCGCGAGAGACTCCTTTTTTCTCTTTCTCTCCCTCTCTTGTTTCGGTGTGTGCGCGCGCGCGTGTTTTTTTTCTGTGTGTGCGTGCTTCGACATATCTGGTACGAGAAGTGGCAGTGTTCTGGGTCGGCCGTAACACCCGGACAGTGATAAAAGAGAGAGAGAGAGATCGCACGGTGGTCGGTCGCGAGAACCACCGAAATTCATCGTTTCAGGCCCTCCCGCTCTCTCTCTTTCTTTCTTTCTGTCTCTCCCCCGTGGCCTCCGCAAAAGCCGGAATACATCGTCGCAGGCCATCGAGGACTCCGCCGAGCCTTTCCAGAGTGTGTTCCTCCCGTGGCCGCCGTCGTCGTTCCTTTCTCTGTTTTCTTCTCGCGCCCTGCGCCGTGTCTTTCTTACGGACAAGCACATCGGCCCCCGATCTCTCCCCCCCTCCTCCCTTTCCGCCACCGTCCTAACGCGGAACGGCGAACGTTATGAGGCCAGCTGAGCGTAACTGACGGCGAAGAGGGAGCGGAACGGCTTAGAGCGTGCGTGTGTCAAACATAACCTAAGCGCGTTGCTCGTCCGTCGATGCGGCGACTGCTCGGCGAGAGAGAAACGGGCCGCGTATCATCGTCCGACTGAGCCGTGTTCGCGACCTCGTCGAACACACCTTTTCGGCCACGGTCGGGGAACATTCGGCGGAACCAGCCGCGCGTCAGCGTACGTTTCGCGACGCATCCGAGGCAGGGGCCGTCGGACACGCAACGCCCCGTCGACGGTGCGACGGAGAGACCGCGCACGAGGAGGAGACATCGACTGCCGTTTCTCGCCGAGGATACTAGCGCGTGTACCGCCGTGCGTGGTTATCGCTATCGTCGCGCGGCCACGATAAAGGACGCGATCATCACGGTCGCTGCAAGGTTCGAGCGCGGTGTGTCACGGAACCTTCGACCCTCGGGTCCCCGCGACCTCGGACCTTCCCGCCGCGCCGCCTTCAGCGCGGGCCATTCGAATCTCGCCGTTCGAGCGTCGCGCGAGACCCCTCCGATTTCGAACGTGCCGGAATAAGCCGTCGGAGGCCTTGCGACGGAACTCGACCCGGTCCTGGACGAGCTGTCCAGCCGACCGGAGAACGGTCGAACGAAGGGCAAACGGAAGAAGAAGACGCAGCAGCGGCCCGGAGTTGTGTGTCAGTGTCGTCTTCGGTGAATCGGTCCCGGTGTCCCGGCCGCGGGGACGACGAACCAAGCAATCACCGCGGTCTGTGTCCCCGTGGAAAACGAAAGAAAACGAGTGAGCGACACGAGTGACGGAGGAACGCGCGACGGGGAGGCGTGTCTTCGGTTCTTCCTCGGAGAAGCACAGCGACGTCGGCGGTGGCGGTGGCGGTGAATCAAGGAAAGGGTTGAGAGTGCTGCGGAGGTTGGTCCCCCAGGGAGAGCGGAGGAGAGGCTTTGATGGCAGTAGTTGGGCCCAGCCGGCACTCGCGGGTGTCCATGAGCGTGTCGATGTCGCTGGTGCAGGGGGGCGGGGCGGGAGCAACCGGCGGCGGCGGGACGGCCGGGGCCCACCCGGGCCAAGCGGTCCTGGCCGTGGCGGCCGCGGCCGCGGCTGCGGCCCAGGCACCCCCCACATACTACCACCCCGCAGCGCCTGCACCCCCGCCGCCGCCGCCAGCCCAGGATCCCGTTCAGCCCGACAGACCCATCGGATACGGAGCATTCGGCGTTGTTTGGTGAGTAATCGCACGCCCCTTATATATATCAGGTCGTCGAGTATGAGATTTGTAGAAAAGATGGCGAAGTTGTTTCATAACTTATAAATACGAGGAATTATTTTATTCATCGAAGTATGCATCCGTATTGTCTATGCACTTTTGCCGTTTAAGCGGCAGGTTGTTCAGGCCGGTGATATGAAACCCTGGCGGACGAGAGTCGATGAATTCCTGGGAAACCAGTTTTACAGCATTGTCGGAATTAAATTGTTTTCCTGTTAAAAAATTGTTCAAATTGTGGAAGAAGCGACAGACAGTGGGGGCTAGGTCCTATGAGTATGGAGGATGATGAAGACGTTCCAACTCCAATTCCTGTAGTTTTGCCACAGTCATTTGTGCAGTGTGTGATCTAACGTTATCATGCAATAAGATGGGAGTCGATTTGTTGACCAATCTAGGCTGTTTTTTTTTTAGTTTTTGCATCATTTCGTCCAGTTGGTTGCGGTATGTTTCTGCTGTGATCGGTGAGCCAGGTTTCATAAAATCATAACGAATCTCACCTGCGCTAGACAGGTGTGATAACCTTTGATTCTGAGGAAACGCGTGGCTCATTGTTGAGGTCAAAATAAACTGTACGAAATTTGGCGAACCAATTTGATACTGTCAGCTGTTTAGTTCACACTAGAGCCAAATACACTATTAATGTTTCACGCGTCTATTTCGTAGTTCCACGTAAGAACTCATACTTCA